ATTTTTTGGTGTTAGTTCTATGAGGTGTTGTAGGTCTTCATAGAACCGGTCCACTTCAGCCTCTTCTGCATCAGTGGTTGGGGCATAGACTTGGATTACTGTGATGTTGAATGGTTTGCCTTGGAATTGGACCAAAATCATTCTGTCATTTTTGAGATTGTATCCCAGTACTGAATTTTGCACTCTCTTGTTGACTATAAAGGTGACACCATTTTTTCTACGAGATTCCTGGCCACAGTAGTAGATATAATGGTCTTCTGAGTGAAATTCGCCCATTCCTGTTCACTTTAGTTCACTGATTCGGGCGGCAGTCTTGCCATCTCATTTTTGACCACGTCAAGCTTACCTTGATTCATAGATCTTACATTCCAGGTTCCTATGCAGTACTTTCTTTGCAGCATCGGACTTTCCTTTCACCATCAGGCACATCCACAACTGAGCGTCCTTTCGGCTTTGGCCCAGCCACTTCACTCTTTCTGGGTTTACTTGTACTTGCCCTCTGCTCTTCCTCAGTAGCATATTGGACACCTTCTGACCTGAGGAGCTCATCTTCTGGCGTCATATCTTTTAGCCTTTTGATACATGGGGTTTTCTTGGCAAAAATACTGTGTGGGTTGCCATTTCCTTCTCCAGGGGATCACGCTTGGTCTGAGTTCTCTGCTGTGGCGTGTCTGTCTTGGGTGGCCCTCCACGGCATAGCCCACAGCCTCATCGAACCACGCAAGCCCCCTAGCCACGACAAGGCAGTGATCCATGAGGGGGATCTTTACTCAGAAGTAAATCCATTATATTAAATGGGGATTGTTCCCAGGAAAGTGACCAGGCCTGTTAAGCCAACAGTTTCTAAATATATTTGAAAATAGTATTAACACACATTTCTGAATGCATGACTAATCTTAAATATTTACCAAGATCCACAAATAGTTGCTTTCCTCCATGTTTTCCATTCACTATTAGAAAAGAAAGATTTGGATTTTCTGTTTGTTGTGATGTCTCTTTCTCCTGTATTCTGTGTGAATTCAGCTGCCAACTCTGTGACATGTCCTTGGTTACAATCTGGTTTTCAAGGCAACTAGGCAAATAAGAAGTATCTTCATAACTCTGAGAAACAGTAGAGACCACCTTTTCCTCTGGAACCAATGGATCTTTACTCTTAATTAAAAGAATAGCAGGTTGAAAAATTGTTCTTAAAAAGTTACCTTAAAATAAAAAAAAATTGAGAACACCATTAAAAAAAGCTATTTCAGATTTCATCAGAAACAATTCTGCTTGACGAGAATAAATCTACTTGAGAAACAAAACCAGAATGTACATAGAGTACAAATTCCTATAGCCAACAAGGAGACCCTGAGGAACAGAAGGCTAAAGTCTTATACATTTAAGTTGTGCCAAAATGAAAACACTAAACCAGCGTATCCAGTTACCCTAATTTAGTGCTGCCTCAGCATGCCTTAAAACCAAGTTTCATGCAAACCCTTTCCCCCCATTACATGTGCTCTATATTATATGACTTCAGTCAAATAAGGCAGTTTCATCTTCCCAAGGTACCCAATCACACTTTTGTATACTGCTGTTCCAGCTGATTTTAATATTTTAATTTTAAATATTTAAATATTTTATTTAATTCACTTTAATATTTATTTAATTCATTTATGTCCTCTTTTTCTACTCAATGGGGACCAAAAGTGGCTCACAACATTCTCCCCTTTCTCCCCGTTATCCTCACAAAAACCCTGTGAAGCTGTTTGGGCAAGCAGACAGTGACTTGCTTAAGGTCACCAAGCAAGCTTCCATGGCAGAGTGGGGACTTGAACCTGGGCATCCCAAATCACTGTACCATGCTCACACTGTATGCAGTCTAGGTTTACATTAACCTGCCTACATGTAGTGGTGCACAAAATCTGGGATCTCCTTTTATAGGTTATTTGAAAACCAGCACCCAGTCACCCTATTCATTTAATTCAAGCAAGAAACTTGGGGGTAGGGATCCCACCTTCACAGATTACTCTGTTAGCTTGATAGGCTATTACAATAGTCAGACTTTGGGGTACCTATGTCAGTGATATCCACCTCCCATGGAGACTTCCTGCTGGCCAAGAGAACCCTGAAGGTACTCCCACCGCTCAGCTGTTTCAGACTGTCTTGTGCAATCTCTCTACACTCAATCTCTTTAAACTTTAAAGGGACTGCAGAAGATAGCCCAAAACAGCTGAGCAGCAAGGAACAAGCTGCTCCCTGTCACTAAGCTGTTTTTTTGGCTTTCTGCGGTCCATTTCAACAAGGTTTGCAGAGCCAGCAACCAGTTCAGTTTGTGAACTTCCTGGTCTGGTTCATGGTTTGGCCATGAACTGAATTTTCCCAGTTCATGCCCATCTCTAGTGAACTCATCAGATCTGAGTTCACTTTTTGTTTTACTTCTTGGTGCTTGAGCTAGTTTTTTTTCTTTTTTGAAATCTACTGTACCATTAATCCTCCTCCTCTAGTACTCCATACAACCACATGCTTAAAATATAATTTTTTCCACTGACCCTCCTTCCCTTTTTTCCCTAATGTGTCTTCTCTTTCATTAAACTGTACTCCCATGCCAAATAAGGTTATATTTTTAATGTTTAGGCAGCACCAGCTTATGGGTTTGGATGTTATAGGCATTACTATAAAAGATGCAAACTGCATAACAAAACTTCTTCAGAGTCTAACACTGAGTTTAGGTACTGCAGTAAATAAGCACCATTTGTAATGAAAAATGAATTCCTGCAGTAAATTTATGGTTGTGGGATTCAGGACTTTTGGGCTTATTTCTATTGTTGTTGTTGTTGTTGTCTGAACATTAATAACTATTTAAAAGCCAATGTAACAATTAGAAGGATGTTTACAGTACATCCAGTTAACATATTTATAGGGATCACATTTGTTTTGAATGCATTTGAAATAAGTGCTACTTACCTATATCAATATTATTTTTAAAAGCAGCATTGTGGAGCTGAAATATTAAGTGGTAACTAAACTTTTCTTCAGTGCTAGAATCTAAATTCAAAACATCTTCAGATGAACATTTCATTCCATAGTATTGTTTTAATTTTTTACAAATGAACTGAAAAACAGAAAGTAGCATTTATTTTGACAACTTTGCCCTTATTTTCTTTGGGGCAGATGGATTTTTGTACATACAATAACAACAGAGACTTAAAAAAAAAGATGGAGAGGGCTGAAAAGCCAAACAAACATCCCCATGTTGAACACACTATGCAGAACTAAGACCCCATGTTTTCAATAGCAGTTCCTTTCATATGAAGGCTGCACAGAGAGATTGACTGTTTTACTTCCCTGCACCAGCTCCTTAAGTTTCACTGAAAATGGCTCCAGAAGCTCCCTCATTTTTGGGTGTGGATTTATATGTGGTTCAGGGGACTGTCATTGAAAGGGGGATGCCTTAAAAGCTCCTGTGCAGGCAGAGTAGATGATATATCCCCCTTTTGGATCCTGGTCAATACATTTAAGACAAACTGGTAGTGAAAAGTTAATTGTAATCAAATGTTTTCTTTTTTGCACCAAACCAAATGTTTCAACCCCCAGTTTAGCTTCCCTGCATTCCCCTTATCTTTTACATATGGCATGGGAAGTTAAGCATGCTGTCCCACTTTTCACCCAGCCTTAGATCTGTTCAGAGTAATAAATACCATTTCTGTCACCAGTGCACATCCTATCAAAATTGGTTTGGTTCTGAAGCAAAGTTAAACTATTGTTTAGGTCCATGTGAAGAAGCATTGGGGTCATGAACTCCATTCTCCCCTCTCCCTACATGCGCTGCAATTGCTTCCCTGCCTAGTTCGTGACAAACCATATGTTGCTGTTTATACATATAGACTGGCAAATCACATAAGAACATAAGAGACGCCAATGTTGGATCAGGCCAAAGGCCCATCCAGTCCAACACTCTGTATCACACAGTGGCCAGAAATACAAGTGCCATCAGGAGGTCCACCAGTGAGACTAGGACATTAGAAGCCCTCCCACTGTTGAACCCCCCAAGCACCAAGAAGACAGAGCATCACTTGCCCCAGAGTCCCTATCTATACCTTGTGGCTAATAGCTACTGATGGACCTCTGTTCCATATGCTTATCTAATTCCCTTTTGAAGCCGTCCATGCTTGTAACCGCCACCACTTCCTGTGGCAGTGAATTTCATGTGTTAATCACTCTTTGGGTGAAGAAGTACTTCCTTTTATCCGTTCTAACCCAACCGCTCAGCAATTTCATTGAGTGCCCACGAGTTCTTGTATTGTGAGAAAGGGAGAAAAGTACCTCTTTCTCTACCTGCTCTTTCCCATGAATAATCTTATAAACATCAATCATGTCACCCCTCAGTCATTGTTTCTCCAAGCTAAAGAGCCCTAAGCACTTTAACCTTTCCTCATAGGGAAAGTGTTCTAACCCTTTTATCATTCGAGTTGCCCTTTTCTGCACTTTTCCCAAAGCTATAATATCCTTTTTAAGGTGTGGTGACCAGAACTGCACACAGTATTCCAAATGAGGTCGCACCACTGATTTATATAGGGGCATTATGATATTGGCTGATCTGTTTTCAATACCCTTCCTAATAATCCCCAGCATAGCATTGACCTTCTTTATTGCAGTCACACACTGTCTCGACATTTTCAGTGAGTTATCCACTACAACTCCAAGATCTCTCTCTTGATCAGTCTCTGCCAGTTCAGACCCCATCAACGTGTATTTATAGTTAGGATTTTTGGCTCCAATGTGCATCACCTTGCACTTGGCCACATTGAACCCCATTTGCCATGTTGACGCCCACTCGCCCAAAATTGACAGATCCCTTTGGAGTGCCTCACAATCCTCACTGGTTTTCACCACCCTGAACAACTTTGTATCATCCGCAAATTTAGCCACTTCACTGCTTACTCCCATCTCCAAATCATTAATGAACAAGTTAAAAAGCAGTGGACCAAGTACTGATCCCTGCGGTACCCCACTGCTTACCCCCCTCCACTGGGAGAACTGCCCATTTATACTCACTCTCTGTTTTCTATTAATTAGCCAGTTTTTGATCCATAAAAGGACTTGTCCTTTTATCCCATGATTTTTGAGCTTGCTTAGGAGCCTTTGATGAGGAACTTTATCAAAAGCTTTCTGGAAGTCAAGGTAAACAATATCTATTGGATCCCCCTTGTCCACATGTTTGTTCACCCCCTCAAAGAACATTAACAGGTTAGTGAGACAAGATCTTCCCTTACAGAACCCATGCTGAGTCTGCCTCAATAGGTTTTGTTCATCTATGTGCCTACTAATTCTTTCCTTAATAACGGTTGCCACCAATTTACCCAGTATTGACGTCAGACTGACTGGCCTGTAATTTCCCGGATCTCCTCGAGAACACTTTTTAAAGATAGGAGTGACATTAGCTACCTTCCAGTCCTCAGGAATGGAGGTAGATTTTAAGGAAAGATTACATATTTTTGTCAGGAGATCCACAAGTTCACATTTGAGTTCTTTCAGAACTCTCGGATGTATGCCATCTGGGCCTGGTGATTTATCAGTTTTTAAGTTGTCTATCAGTTTTAGAACCTCCTCTCTTGTCACCTCAATCTAACTCAGGTCTTTCAACACCCCTCCCGAAATCACAATTCTGGTTTGCCCTGCAAGCCATGTGGTTTGCAATTTTGGTTTGCAGCACAAGCAAAAACCACAGTTTGTCATCTCAAATTATGGTCTGTCACAAAACAGGATGGAAAGGAGGGAAATACAGTGCATGATGGGACAGAGGAGGCTGGAGCATGCAGGTGCAAGGATCATTCACATTGTGCCAAGGCATGGTCTGAACCAAGCCATATGTTCAGCCAGGCTTGTGATACTATGACCTCACAGGTATCTGTAATTCCCCCAATCAGATTCAACTTTCATGTCCTCTGCTAAACTATGTACTCACGCTAGAAAATTCAGGATCCCACTGCAATACGAATGATCATATATCAGAACTTTGATGCAAATTTCAACTATGAAATAGTTATCTACTACAACTCCAAGATCTCTTTGATGCAAATTTCAACTATGAAAGTCTAATCTTTGCTCAAATTATAAGGGTTTATAGGTGTAATACTGCTCAAGCACATAGACTGGGAAATTTATGTTGAATTCTGCCTAATAACTTTGTAGGTCATACTTTAAACTTCCCCGAGATGACTGAAACTTCCAAAGAGATTCCACACTCTTCTTTGTCAGCTTATTCATTGTCATAGTTAGAATTTTTCCCCACTAATGTTCACTAACCTAAATTTACCTTCCTAATTTTTCTTACAATATTACCTCTATTAAGACTGCAACCATCTGCTGTCCATCAGCTCCTGGATTTGTTGATATGTAAAATTCCAAATCAAAGTACAGTTTGCAAACAGCATTTTCTGGAATAACTTCATAGCAGTGCATGAGACTTGTTTCATAATGTTTGCTAGATTAAATAAGAATCACCATTATCTGTATTTGTGGAAATGACAAACATTTTGAACAAAAATATATACTCAGATTTCTCTTTAATAAAACTGCAATAAAACTTAAGACTTGCAGTGCCAACACAACAGTACAGAGGATGAGCCATTAAAACCATTCTGCCAGCACGATGTCATAAAAAAATAAAGGTTCTGTAATGTTATGCCAAAGTGGCAGGCACTGAACCAGCAAAATGTTGGGGACTGCAGCCAAAAATCTAGAAGAGGTATATGCCTGCACACTTTTCTGAGAGTTTCCATCTCAAAAGGTACCCAGGCAATAAAATCCCCCAATTATTATTTTAAACTCTTCCATTATCAAGAACTTTTGATGATTTGACACAATAGTTTTTGGAGAGGACTGGAGGTGGAAGGAAGCAGTGGAAACAGAATGCAGGTACTGACGGCATCTCTTGCACCATACCCTAAACTGCTGGAGTTTTAACAGCTCGCAGGTAATTCATGTTCTGACTGCTAGTCTAAATTTTAGCCTATTTTTGAAAGTTGAATTTCAAAAAGCTGTCATTATTGATCATCTTGGACCAAACTTGCTTGAAAGTTGAATTTCAAAAAGCTGTCATTATTGATCATCTTGGACCAAACTTACTTGAAAGTGAAATCCAGTCGACAGACTCGTCTGCCTGCCTACCTGCCTATCTATCCTCATAAAGCTATCACCTTAAGCAGAAATTAAAATAGAAATTAAAGTAAAAAGACCTTAGTATTATTTCCCTGGTATTTAATTATTGAACCTATAAATACCACTGAAAGGGTGACAATATCGTTTGTATCCAATAATAGCCACATTACCTGGACTCTCATATTAAGAATTCTGCATTTTTAAGTAAAGGGGTGATTAAATTAGGCCTCAACTTGTTAAATATAGGACACTCTATAATCATGTGTTCAATGGTTTCAGCTTTGTCATATGAATGTCTGCATGTTCTGCTAGCATATGGTACTTTATTATATCTACCCTCCAAAATCACTGAGGGAAGGGCATTCATTCTTGCCAGCGTAAAAGCTCTTCTGAGCTTTGGTACTGTCAAACAATAAAAGTACCTTGGCAGTTGCATCGGGAGGGCAATTCCCAAGTAAAGGTTGAACATACCCTATGTGGCCTGATGGATGTACTAATAACATCCAACTTCCTAACATGCTTTTTTATTTGCCTAATTATATCTTTAGTCAAATAATTTACTTGAAAGTGAAATCCAATGGACAGACTAGTCATTATAGCGTTCCACTGAACACAAAACACACTATGATTTGAACCATAGTGTTCAGATACTTACTTGTAATAAAACCACAGTTCTGTGTATGTTGTCACAAGATAAAACCTCTGCTTATTTTCAGCATTCTTTTCCAATGCAAATACATGAACATCCTTTTAAATAATAACAACAACAACGAAAAGTTAGGTCCCCTTTTTTCACACAACTAAATAAGATACCTAAAAGCCAGTTAGTAGTTCGGTTCCTTCACTATGCTTGGCTTCCAATGCATACTCCTATGCACTGTAGTTAACACAAGAACAGGGAAGCTAAGCATGACTGAAGGATGACAATGTAGTGGATTCTGTGTGTGCAAACCAAGGACTTTGGCCAAACATTTTTCCACTGCCATTGCTCACCACTAACTGAAGAATCAGCCTACATATAATGATTCGTAACCAGCACTTTGTTTAGTTGGTCTTTAAACTACTGCCAGTGAATTTCACTAGATGAACTCAAGTTCTAATGGGGGGGGGGCGCATCCAAGTGCACTTCTACCACTCCATGAATAAGATTATAAGATGTATCATTCATATCTCCCATTAATCATCTCTTTTCTTAACTAAAAATCCCCCAAACTCTTTCTTTATACTCATTGACATTATTTAAGAAGTACTGCATTTATGTGCCTTGACCTGGATAGCCCAGG